GCCGCCGCGCTTCCCAAGCGGCGCACTATAGCAGTGCACCACCGGGCCGGCCCCCAGCGTGACTTTTATATGTCCAGTTTATCACAGTGAAGAGGATCTGTCTCTCCACTGTGTTGACTGGGTTGGCATGAGCTTGGCTGTTTCTCTGTCCCATGGCTGCCATCCGTATGGGTCACGGTGTTCGCAGAGCCTTGCTCCCCTGGGCTTGTGGCCTGAGACAGCTGACTGCTCTGTCTTTCCACATGGAGCTGCTTTGACAGGTCTCCTATTTGACCCTCTTCGTTTTCGGGCCAGCACATTCTTTTCCTCACTTTCCACTTTGTGACGGGTGGTTTAGTTGCTGGCTTGCTTTTGCTTTTTCTTTTCTCACTCAATCACTCTTATATCTTCTTTGACATCCAAGTTCAGAGAATGTTGAAAGCCAGCTAGAAAATGGGGAAGCTGAGAGAGAATGTCCAGTTCTTTTTAATGTGTTCTACAGAAATAAAGTTATGTACAGGTTAAGCATCCCTAATCCTAAAATCCCTAATCTAAACTCAATGGAAATGGGGCATTTCAGATTTCAGATTTTTGGACTAGGGATGGTCAATCAGTAGGAATAAATGCATCTATTCCAAAATCTGAAAAATCTGAAATCCAGAACACTTCTGGGTTTCAAACATTTCTGATAAGGGATATTCAACCTGTGTTAAAACATGTAGACATAATGTTTCCTTATAAGATTAAAGGTTTTCTTTAGGCTGGATTTCATTTCTTTGAGATAGAAAACATCAAATATTTATTATAGCTGTTTAAATGAGTTCATCTCATTTTTAAAAAGTATGAAGTATTTCAAAATTATAAAAAAAGTCAGTGGATAATGTGACACCTCTGTGCTCACTGCCAGCTGTATCAAGGCTCATATCATTTCAATGCTTGTTGTTTTTCAGCTTCAGATGACCAGAAAATCTTCAAAGATGGGGGGACATGTTCAGAAATGAAAGTGACACAAAGGCCTGATCGATGTAAAGGCCCTTAATGTGTTGTTTTCTTTGTAGCTCTCCTGTGAAGAAGCCAAGTCTTCTAAAGGCCCAACAGTTTGAGGGAGACCTTTTTGATTCTGGCTCTGAGGGCTCCGAGGGTCTCGGGCCGTGTGTGCCGTCCCTCAGTACCCTGATAGGCACTGTGGCTGAGACATCTGAGGAGAAGTACCGCTTGCTCGACCAGAGAGACCGGGTCATGCGGCAAGGTATGGCATGGCACATAGTGGTGGAGGTTCCAGAGTGTCTGGTAAGGTTATGGTGGGATCATTATCTCGGGAGCTACCAGGAAGGGAGTGACCCTTTTCACTGGACTCTGCTGCCGATGAGTCTTATCATCTACCAGTCTTCCTGGGGGGTGAGTGTTGTGTGTGTATGTACATATATATGTAAATGCATTTGTTTATGTATGCATAAAATAGCTGTGGGAAGATGCAGAAGAACCTGCTCATGTTGTCAGCAGAGAGGGAGGGGGGTATCTGAAGGACAGAAGTGAGGGGGTGCTCCACTTCCGACATTTTTACACCTTTGGAATGTTGAATTGTGTGAGTGTATTACTTATTCAAAAAGTAAGTATTTCATTCACCTTAGAAATATATGTGGTGACCAAAAATGAAAAGACACCTGTACTCTTCTATGTAAATGTTGTTTTCTTAAATTTCAACTGTAGGAGTTTCCTTTTTTAAAAACGGTGAATAATTGGAATAATCATCTTACTTTCTTAACACAGTAATAAAAGCTGCTATCATACGTTATAGCACTGACATGGTGATTTTTATATTCAAAATACAATTATTATTAGGTATTAGAATTTTTCATAATGAAAATACGGTATGTGTATTTTGAGTTGTGAAGTCATTGCATAACATTTCATTTAAAAGATACATTTGTAACTATTTAATTCTGTGGGTGATAATAGCATACTTTTCAGGTAAGGACCCAGTTAACATCCTGTTATATCAAAACATGATGAATACTGAGACAGAGTTTTAAAATACTGATATATTTTCGGGCCGGCCCGGTGGCGCACTGCTACAGTGCGCCGCTTGGGGGCGTGGTGGCGCTCCCGCCGAGGGTTCGGATCCCACATACAGACCGGGCCGCTCACTGGCTGAGCGAGGTGCGGGCGCAACGCGGAGGGTTGCGATCCTGTTGCCGGTCCCGGTCTGGTACGGGCGCAACACTGAGGGTTGCCATCCGTTGCCGGTCACGAAAAAAGACAAAAAGGAAAAAAAAAAAAAAAAGAAATACTGATATATTTTGAATGTTTGCATTTAGCAAATTGATCCTTTTGGCAAACGTCCTGCACTGTGATTGTTTATCATTGAGGTCGTTATAAGAGTTTGGCAGTGCACCCAGCTCTAAGTGAGGTTGTGCTCCCATCTTTAGTCCTGGGGGCATCTTTGTGAGCCTCAGTGCCTCACTGCCTAGCAGGATTGGTCACAAGTCTCTTTCTCTGAGGCCCAGAGTTTTTAAAATACTTCTTTCTTTTCCTTTGTAATTGTGTGTGATTTATTTTTATTTTTCCTTTTATCATTATGAAAATTCACTTCTTTGGGTTCCTGGTAACTGTTTGGTACAGCTTTGCCTTTTACTTGATGTCATTTAGCTCGGGTGAAAAGAACTGATTTGGACAAAGCAAGGACTTTTGTTGGGACGTGCCTGGATATGTGCCCTGAGAAGGAGCGGTACATGCGGGAGACACGGAGCCAGCTGAGTGTGTTCGAAATGGTCCCAGGGACTGACCAGGTGGAGCTCTGCATCCCCCCGGGGGGTGGGGGTAGGGTGTGCAGAGGAGAGGAGGCTTTTTCTTTTGTAATTTCTGTACGAATGGATATTTGATTTGGGCATTAGCTGTTTTCAGAGGGTGGTGGGAAATTGTGTCCTTAGTAGTCTTGTTAAGCTATATTGTGTTGTGACATGTTTTCTGAGCAATCTTTGTGTAATGTGATGGGGCCACATGGTACTTATACATAATGAGGTATAGATGTAGTTTTTGTTTAAAAAAATTTTATTTTTTACAATTTATTTCTATCCTTTTCTGTGTTTATGTTTTACGCATTTAAATTATGATCTAGGGCCGGCTTGTGGCTCACTCGGGAGAGTGCGGTGCTGATAACACTAAGGCCACGGGTTCGGATCCCATATAGGGATGGCCGGTTCGCTCACTGGGTGAGCATGGTGCTGACAACACCAAGTCAAGGGTTAAGATCCCCTTACTGGTCATCTTTAAAAAAAAAAAAAAAAAAATTATGATCTAGATACAATTTTCTATGTATCTTTTTCACTTAAAATTATATCATGAGCATTTTCCTGTTATGATGAGCTATAAGTATTTTTAAACGACAGTATATTATTTGATTATATAGCTCTGTCAAAACTTCTCATTTTTGCAATCAATAGGCTGCTTCTCATTTTTCAGTTTTTCACATCCACTGTACCCACTTCATGTGTGAGGAGCCCATGTCCTCCTTTGATGCCAAGATCAACAATGAGAACATGACCAAGTGCCTGCAGAGTCTGAAGGAGATGTACCAGGACCTGAGAAACAGGGGTGTCTTCTGTGCCAGTGAAGCAGAGTTCCAGGGCTACAATGTTCTGCTCAATCTCAACAAGGGGGACATCCTAAGGTGAGTTTTCATAGTTGACCTAAGATGTATGAAAAGGCAAGATTTGAGTAGGAAAAGAGCTTTTAATTTAGCAGTAGCTGACAGTTCTCTCTGGTAGAAAATGTTGGGATGGTGCAGTAAGAGACCCTGGTCTGGGCTGGGCAGTCTGCCAAGTTGAGCTCGGAGCAGCTCACCTAATGTGGGCCCCACACGCTTGTTTCTGAGAACTGTTTTTCCTCACTGGTGAGAGAAAATGAGGAAGAAATGCTCCCGATGAGACAGGTGGGTGAATGAGGACAGGGAATCCCAGGATGCCCTTTCAGAGCTGTCACCAGTTTGCTGTTTCTGAGTAGTTTTGTCAAAGAGCTGAGTGATAAGAGAGGAAAAAATTGTGTGAAACAAAAATGCTGAGGAGGGTACTAAGAGTGAATGAATTTTAAACCCTGGTCTGATATGTAAACAGACATGTACGTGAGGAACATGGCAGAGTTTTCTGGCCTCAGTTTGTGTTGCTGGTGAATTGAACTCAGTGGTGCTAGTTCCAAGAGACCCTTATTTAGGACGAAACTCTTTTAGCTTAGTATTTTCCTGAAGAACCTTGTTGCTGAATATCTAGACATGTGATTGGTTTTAAGTTTTAAAATAGTCTTGTAGATAATCTGGCTGTGTGGTCTTTTCATATGTGACAAGCATTTGTCCTCCATCTTGAAAAATTCAGTCAAATCAATTTATTTCTAAACAAAACAAAGTTAAAATTTCTGTTTCTTAGACTTTGCTGTCAAACACAGTTGGCAGTCAGTTGGCATCACTTTAAAGTAACTTTTTGGTAATTGATTCCTAAATTGTTGCTTAAATTTATTTACTCATCATCTTTTTAGAGAAAACCTTTGTCTATCAATCCAGCCCATAAGTGGTAGCTTTGAACTTTGTAAATTATAAATTTAATGGCACATTTCACTATTAAGATCCTCTTTCTCAGTATGATCGAAATCTAGGTATTTATCAGATATATCTTCATGGAAATTTTGTCTAATTAAAAATAACATTCTTTAAAAAAAAAGAACAAACCAAAAATAACATTCTAACTTCTTTTATCTCCTTTAATTAACAGAGAAGTACAACAGTTCCACCCTGCTGTTAGGAACTCCTCTGAGGTGAAATTTGCTGTTCAGGCTTTTGCTGCGTTGAATAGTAATAATTTTGTGAGATTTTTCAAACTGGTCCAGTCAGCTTCTTACCTGAACGCTTGTCTTTTACACTGTTACTTTCATCAGGTGAGTAAAACAGCTGTGCTTGCAGAATTGGAAGAAAGCGTGTTGTTACTTGTGACATTTAAGTGCTTGTTTGTTCCAAGAGCTTTTCCAGGCTAAGTTTCATGGAACTCTCACAGCGGCCCCATGAGGGGGTTACCAGTGTTATGGATTTTGTGGGGCTGGTACGATTGATCACTACTGGGAAAGGCTGTGCAACGGAGAATACTGTTCTGTGGTTCAGATAAGAGAAATCTCTTCAGAGTGACATCACTTGAGTTTAGCATTACCGTCTTCCATGAAAACAAACCCAAAAGCAAAAATACCTTATCATACACACAAAATCCTTAACTTTAAAACACTTAGTGTTACTAATCTAAATTTTCGGAGTGAGCCTGATGATGCTAAATTCATCTCAGCAAATATCCAAGTGCCTGCTCTTTGCTACGTGCTATGCTGTGCACTGTGCTGTGCTGGGGAAGACCAGTCTTTTACCTTGGATTTTGCGTAGGATGTAAACTCTTGGTCTCAGAATTTCCAGTCAGTTCTTTAGCTCCATCCCCATGGGGACACTTGGGGATGATGATAGAGCAGCCCCTGGAGCACTTCCTGTACTCGGCCCCCACATGTATGGGCTCAGTGAGAGGTGACAGGTACCCTTGCCCACATCCTAGAGCACACCCCGGCCTTGCACACACCCTGCCGCCCACCCCCACCATGGGATGCAAGGGTGCTGTAAGGGAAGGAAGCCGCCTGGGAGACTTCAGGACTGCCCCTCTCAGTCTGTGACTCTTGAGTCATTTCTCTTCTTTGTCACACACTCAGTGACTAACCCACAGTGAAGTCCCAGGCAAAGAATCTTGCAGCTTGCTGGTTGTCATCAGATGTGGCAATTGCCAGTGGAACTGAAGTTCTGGTGCAAATGAACTGGTTTCTAATAGCTCATCATTTGAGGACTCAGTAAAGTTGTTAAATGAAACTTATAGTTAATATTTTTGAGTGATGATTTAATGTTATTGGAATGTTGGCCATTTTTAATAACCAAACAAAAGAGAAACCTAAGTTTTTTTTCTTTAGAAGAACATTGTCTTCCCTGGCAGTGACCCATAGTCCCATTGTCTCTGGCCTCTTCTCCCCCGTCCCTCCTCAGCTCCACCTGCAGGGTTGCACCCCCCCCATGCCTGCTGCAGGCTCTCCCCTCCCCCAGGTCTTGGTGCAGCTGCCACCTTCTCAGCAGGGCCCGCCTCACCAGTGCTCCCTGTCCCTACAGGTCAGCATTTTGTTGTTCTTGTTCACTGTTGTATGCTCAGTGTTAAGAACAGTGCCAGAGGGCTGGCTGTGGCTCACTTGGGAGAGTGTGATGCTGATAACACCAAGCCAAGGGTCCAGATCCCCTTACTGGTCATCTTTTTAAAACAAAAAAACAACAAAAAAACTTGCCAGGCACATAGTGAACACTGAGGAAGTATTTGAATTGACATTGGAAAAATACTAGCAAAGTAGTCCCCCAAATCTCAACACACAAACATATTTTTGTTAGCATTTTTATGTGTTTCTTTGTCTTCTTTTTTTAAGTCACTTGTTACGCTATGAAACAATAACTGAAGTATAAGAACTGTTATACTTCATTTCTTATCACGCATTTGTCCATGGCGTTTGGTAGTCTCCGTGGTAGTTCTTAGCACCAATGTAGCTTTTTGCTGAGTGGACACTGCATGGTTCACTTTCCATGCCCTTGATGATGGATGGTCTGTCTTCTAGTTTTTCTTATAAACCATAAAACCTTCACAACTCCTCCTTTTCTTTTTTTTTTTTTTTTTAAAAGATGACCGGTAAGGGCATCTTAACCCTTGGCTTGGTGTTGTCAGCACCACGCTCAGCCAGTGAGCAAACCGGCCATCCCTATATAGGATCTGAACCTGTGGTCTTGGCGTTATCAGTACCGCACTCTCCTGAGTGAGCCACAGGCCGGCCCTACATCTCCTCCTTTTCTATGAGACTGTTTTCTTAGCATGCATTCCTGGGCCTCTGCCACTCAGCAGATGGCCTGTGATCCCTAAGCTCAGGATTTATATTGCCAAACTGCCTTCCAGTAGGACTGAGCTACAGCAGGAGCCCCCGGTCCCCATGCCAGCCACTTATGTGGTCATGGGGCAGCTGGCTGTTTGCATTTATTTAACTGGGCATCACTCTCTGAGACTGCAGTGACTTGGCTTCTTTCAGATCCGCAAGGATGCTCTCCGAGCGCTCAACATTGCGTACACCGTGAGCACCCAGCGGTCCACTGTCTTTCCTCTGGACGGCGTAGTGCGCATGCTGCTGTTCAGAGACAGTGAAGAGGCAGCAGACTTCCTCAGCCACCACGGTCTCGCTGTCTCTGATGGGTAAGAACTGAGAGTGGAGCTGTGGGCTCTGTCTCCTTTTTTCTTTTTTAATTCTGATGAAGGGCTGCGAAGTGCACGGTGCTTGCCGGGCCTGGGAAGAGCATGTTCCATGTGCTGTCTTCCCAGTGTGCAGGCGAATACATGGAGGCTCAGAATGGCTGGGGAATGTCCCCAAGGTCACACTCTGGTGGTCAGCAGATTGAGGTTCAGACCAAGTTCTTTGTGACTCCAAAATCACTGCTTTTCACGAGTTACCAAGAAACTAAGGGTAAAGGCTAGGACCTTCTTTATTCTGTCCCTTGAGGATTACCTTTGGGACTTGTGACAGGCCACTGCCCACCTCTGAGGGCCAAGATGCAAGCTCAGGTGAGCCAGGCCAGGGCCTTCTCTACTTTGCAGTCAGAGCGTATTGAGACCATGATGAAACTCATGGACCCTCTCCCAGGCACATTATACTCCACACTCGCATTGCGGTCTCCCCAGCCCCTCCCTGCTGTAACTCCCAGCGAGCATGCCCAGTGTGTGTTGCTGCAACTCGTGGCTGTTACACACCAGGCCAGCTGGTTCCGTGCAGTCATAGAGAAGCTCCAGGTCTGGCAGCAGTGGGTGCCTTTTCCTTCCCTCCTTGTTTACATATAGCCTGTGGTGACTCAAGATGGGGTTTGTTCTTTAACCCGGGGGCTTCCGGCACTGCAGCTGGGCATCGAGAAGGCAAAGCTGACATCTCTCTGGTGACACCTGTCTGTGGGCTCTTTGTGGTCTTGGTAGCTATCCTTGTTTACATATAGCCTGTGGTGACTCAAGATGGGGTTTGTTCTTTAACCCGGGGGCTTCTGGCACTGCAGCTGGGCATCGAGAAGGCAAAGCTGACATCTCTCTGGTGACACCTGTCTGTGGGCTCTTTGTGGTCTTGGTAGCTACGTCGAGCTGAACCGGTCTGCATTCCTGGAACCGGAGGGATTATCCAAGGCCAGGAAGTCAGTGTTTGTTACCAGGAAGCTGACGGTGTCAGTTGGAGAAATCGTGAATGGAGGGCCGTTGCCCCCCGTCCCTCGTCACATCCCTGTGTGCAGCTTCAATGCTCAGAACAAGTACATTGGGGAGAGCCTGGCCACAGAGCTGCCGGTCACTACCCAGAGACCCAGCTTGGAGGTGGCAGGTGAGTGAAGCTGGAATCGTGGGAAGGGAACCCGCTGCATTTCGCAGCAGAGCTTCCTGGTAGGCAGAAGCATCTGTCTTGTTTGGGGCTTGGAGTGTAGTTCTGAGCTCAGTGCCCAGAGGTTTCTCACTGAGATGGGCTGGAGGGCTTCCCTGACATCACAGTGCTGGTTTTCCACATGAAGTGTAGTTGTCCCGCATGGAATACTGTTGGGAAGCGCCCTGCCGTGGTCTCAGGGAGGGCAGGCCAGCGCTTCCAGTCCCTGTGTGTTGTAATGCCGTCTTTCCCTGTGTTTCCTTTCAGGTGGTGGGAGAGGAGAGGAGGCTGATGCAGAGCTGGACACGCCTACAGCTGGTCTCCTCCCAGAGCCTCTTCCTGCTCCCACACTCTCGCAGGCACCTCTGCCTTATGTCCCGGCACTGACGCCGCCCGTGGCACCCAGCCTCGTCCAGCCCTCCGCACAGTCAGAGCTGCTTCCTCCAAAGCCCATGCCCCTGTACTCTGATGCGGTAGGGAGTCTTCTAGGTCAGGGCTCTGAGGGGCCCACCACCCTGGGGGCTGGGGCTGTGTTGCTTCGTCTCACAGGAGAGGAGCCAGGCAGTTGAGGGGGGGACATGCCCATGGCCACTCAGCCCAGGAGGCAGAGCTGGGCCGACCCAGCCAGGGTAACTGTAGAGCCCTGTTGGTATTACAGTAGTCAGAGTGGCACTTAGCACTTCCCATCACAGTGCTGACCAGCCCCTGAGTGTCTGGTCTAACTGAGCCCAACATCTGCTCACGTGAGATGGCCAGTGCACAGGCTGACTCAGGACCTGTGGGATTGCGGGCAGTGCCATGTACCCACTGACAAGGGTGTCCTTGGTGTTGAATAGGATACATCCACCACCCAGTCATGAGGCTCGACTGTGTCAGCCTGGCTGCTCAGGGTCAGGCACTAAGCACCTACGCTGTGGGGGATCAGGGAGTCCTGAGGGGGAGAGTAAGGGATGGCCACAGAAATTGGGGGTGTTGTGTGCCAAACAGAAAGGGGCCACAGGCACTGTTGGGGCCATCTGCTGGGCAGTCATCCAGCAGGGAGCAGGCCTGCCCTGTCCCCTCCAGAAGGCACCTTTGTTCATCAGGGGAAACCTTCCCGAGGCAGCCTAGCAGACCCCATGTCAGGGATCATGTGTTTTTGTTGTTAGACACCTTCAGACAGTGTCCAGTGACAAGATCTTGCCTAGGATTTCTGCCCTGGGTGGGACGTCTTATTAGACCCTGTGCTGGTCTCTCCATAGGACCTGGCGCAGGTGGTGGATGAACTCATCCAGGAGGCTCTTCAGAGGGACTGTGAGGAAGTCAGCACTGCAGGGGCGGCCTATGCAGCCGTAGCTCTGGGGTGAGTGGCCCCTAGCACCTCTTCTGCTCTGAAGCTGTGGGCGCTGATGTGTGTGCTGGGTGCTGCACCCCATCCCTCCAGACGTTTCCTAATGAAGCTGCTCTAATTCTTCAGCAAGAGATGGCAGCTGCCCACTTGTATAGTCTGGAAGCTCACAGGGCCAGCTCCAGGGACAGTGGTGCCTCCTTCAGGCCTAAGTGTTGGCCTTGTCCTTTAGGCGGGTGCAGTTGCTCATGTCCTGACTTTCTGTCTCACCTGGATGCCTCTTCCGTTTGTGTGTGCCCTGTGAGAAACATTCAGTTCATTAAAGTTTATAAATTAGCGCCGGCCCGGTGGCGCACTGGAGAGTGCGCTGCTTGGAAGTGCGGCGGTGCTCCCACTGAGGGTTTGGATCCCATGTGGAGACCGGTTCCCGCTCACTGGCTGAGCGCAGTGCGGGCGCAACACCGAGGGTTGCGATCCCGTTGCCGGTCCCTGGTACGGGCGCGACACCGAGGGTTGTGATCCCGTTACCGGTCAGTAAAAAAGACAAAAAGGAAAAAAATAAAAAATAAAAAATAAATTAAAAAATATTTTTCTTTAGAGGGTTGTGATCCCGTTACCGGTCAGTAAAAAAGACAAAAAGGAAAAAAAAAAAAAAATAAAAATAAATTAAAAAATATTTTTCTTTAGGGGCCGGCCCCGTGGCTCACTTGGGAGAGTGCGGTGCTGATAACACCAAGGCCCCGGGTTCGGATCCCATATAGGGATGGCCGGTTCACTCACTGGCTGGGCGGGGGGCTGACAACACCAAGTCAAGGGTTAAGATCCCCTTACCGGTCATCTTTTAAAAAAAAAATATATATATATTTTTCTTTAAACGTGATTTAAAAATCTAGGGAAGTGAAAATTAGCTCATTCCCTGTTAAAAAATTTAAAATATGCACTTTTACTTGATGTCTTAAATGTAATAATCAGTCTTTCTAAGCTCTTACACAACTTCTGTAAAGCTAATTGAAATCTAGTAAACACAGTAAATCCAATTTTCTTAAAGATTTCAAACATTTTTTCAAAATCCCAGTACACAAGAAAGGGGACAATGATAAGGAAAGGTGTTAGTTTGCCTTCGTAAAATACAGACTACAGTAAAGGATCATCAACCTTGTCGATAAGTTTGATTCATTTTTCTACCCTGGAGTTAGATACATTCTATTCGATGGAACTAATAAGAAATATTTCCATGGGCTTAGTTTTTTTTTTTTCAGTGTGGTAAAACATACTCAACAAGATTTACCATTTTAACCATGTTTAGGTTTATGATTCAATGGTATTAAGTACATTCACAATTATGGGTATCCACCACCACTGTTTCCATTATGCCACACATAAACTCCATACCAATTAAACAGTAACTCTTCACCCTCCTGTTCCCCCAGCCCCTGGTTACTGCTCCACTGTCTGTTTCTATTCTAGTACCTCGTGTGAGTGGAGTCATGCATCTATTTGTCCTTTTGTGTCTGGCTTATTTTACTTAGCATAATGTCTTTGAGGTTCATCTACGTTGTCACATGCGACAGGATTTCAGTCCTTTTTGTAGCTGAATAATATTCCATTCTGTATATACCCCCCCATACCCCATATTTTATTTATCCACTAATCTGTTGATAGGTGGTTTGTTTTCGTCTTTTGAGTATTGTAAATAACGCTACCATGAACATTGGTGTACAAATAACTGTTTGAGTCCCTGCTTTCAGTTCTTATCGGTATTTGCCTAGGAGTGTAATGGCTGAATCATGGGATCTACTTTCAGTTTTTTGAGGAACCACCAAATTGTTTTTCATGGTGATACCATTTTATATTCCCACCAGCAGTGCACAATGGAGGGTTCCAGTTTCTCTTGTGGCCTTGCCAACACTCATCTTCTCGTTTTGGTTTTTGTTTGTTTTTTATAATAGCTCTCTTAACATGTGTAAGGTATCTCATAGTTTTGATTTGTATTTCCCTAATGACTTGTGATGTCGAACATCTTTTCACATTCTTATTGCCCATTTGTATATCTTCTTTGGAGAAATGTCTATTCAAGTCCTCTGCCCATTTTTGACTTTGGTAGTTTGTTTTATTTTTGTATAAATAAAGGAGTTTTTTGTATAAATAAGGAGTTTTTTTATATCCTGATTATTAATCCCTTGATTTGCAAATATTTTCTCCCATTCTGTGGGTTGTCTTTTTACTCTTTTGATAGTGTTTTTTGATACACAAAAGTTTTAGATTTTGATGTAGTCCAATTTATCTGTTTTTCTTTTGTTGCCTGTACCTGTTGTCTGGTCATCCAAGAAATCATTGCCAAATCCAGGATTGTGAAAATTTTCCCTGTGTTTTCTTCCAAGAGTTTTATGATGTTAGGTCTTGAATTTAGGTCTTTAACCCATTTTGATTTCGTTTTTGTATATGATGGAAGGTAAGGGTCTAACTTCATTTTTTGTATGTGGGAATCCTGTGTTCTCAGCACCATTTGTTGAAGAGACTATTCTTTCCTCTTTGAATGGTCTTGGCATCCTTGTTAAAAATTATTTGACCACATATAAGGGGTCTTCAACAAGTTCATGGAAAAGTTTTTCGTCTTTTAATTCTATTTTTTCACAAGCTTTTTGAAGTACCCTCATATGTGAAGGTTTATTTCTGGGCTTTCTGTTCTATTCCATTGGTCTACATGTGGTGCCAGCACCACACTGTTTTGATTACTGTAGGTTTATAATGAGTTTTAAAATCAGAAAGTGAATGCTTCAATTTTATTCTTTTTCAAGTTTTTCACTATGGGAGTTCCTTGAGATACCATGTGAATTTTATGATGGGTTTTTCTATTTCAGTAAAAACTGTTGTTGGTGTTTTGATAGGGATTGCTTGAATCTGCAGATTGCTCTAGACAATATCATCATCTTAACAATATTAAATCTTTCAGTCCATGAATATGGGATTGCTTTTCCATTTATTTAGGTTTTCCTTAATTTCTTTCAGCAGTGTTTTATAGTTTTCAGTTTGCAAGTCTTGCCTTCTTGGTTAAATTTATTCCTAATTACTTTATTCTTGTTGATGCTATTTTAAATGGAATTATTTTCTTAATATCATTTTCAGATTGTTTATTGCTAGTGTATAGAAATACTGTTGAGTTTTATATATTGATCTTTATCCTCCGATCTTGCTCAATTCGTTTATTAGTTCTAGCAGGTTTTTAGTGGATTCCTCAGGATTTTCTATATGCCAGATCATGTCATCTGTGAATAGATATAGTTTTATTTTTTCTTTCCAATTTGGATGCTTTTTATTTCTTGTTCATGTCTAATCGTTCTGGTTATAACTTGCAGTAATGTGTTGAATAGAAGTGACAAAAGTGGGCATCCTTGTTTTGATCTTAGAGGAAAAGCTTTTGGTCTTTTGACACTGAGTATGATGTTAGCTGTGGGTGTAACATATATGGCCTTTATTATGTTGAGGAAGTTCACTTCTGTTCCTGGTTTATTAAGTGCTTTATCATAAAATGGTGTTGAATTTTGTCAGCTGCTCTTTCTGTATTAATTGAGATGATCGTGTGTGTATGTTTCATTCTATTAATGTGGTTGTATTACATTGATTGGACTTTATATGTTGAACCATCCTTGTATTCCTTTCATAAATCCTACTTGGTAATGGTATATAGTTCTTTTATTATGCTGCTGATTTCAGTTTGCTACTACAGTCATGTATCATTTAACAATGATATGTTCTAAGAAATGCATCATTAGGTGATTTTGTTGTCATGCAAACATCATAGGGTGTATTTACAGAAACCTAGATGAGATAGCCTGTGACACATCTAGGCTATATGGTATAGTCATGGTTGTATTATGTTGTTTGGACTTAAACGTTGTTATACAGTGCATAATTGTATTTTGTTGAGGATTTTTGCATCAGTATTCATAAGAGAAATCATTCTATAGTTTTCTTGTAGTGTCTTTGGTCTGGTGTTGATATCAGGGAAATGCTGGCCTCATAGAATGAGTTAGGAAATGTTCTCTTCAGGTTTTTGGAAGAGTGTGTGAAGGATTGGTGTTCTTTAAGTGACTGGTAGAATTTACCAGTGAAGCCTTCCACTCCTAGGCTTGTCTTTGATGGTAGGTTTTTGATTACTGAGTCAATCTCATTAGTCACAGGTCTATTCAGATTTTCTGTTTCACCATGAGTTGGTTTTGGTAGATTGTGTGTTTCTAACAATGGGCTTTATTTTTATGCTAAAAACCAAGTGAGGGCCGGCCCGTGGCTCACTCGGTAGAGTGCGGTGCTAATAACACCAAGGCCCCGGGTTCGGATCCCACATAGGGATGGCCGGTTCGCTCACTGGCTGAGCGTGGTGCTGACAACACCAAGTCAAGGGTTAAGATCCCCTTACCGGTCATCCTTTTAAAAAAAAAAAAAAAAAAAACAAGTGAGTATTTTTTTTCCCCTTGCCAACGTTAGAAGTTTAATGTGGTTTGCTTGGCTTTTTTCCCTCTGATTTTGAATGCTGTCCACTTTGCTCTGTCTAGTGTTTCTAATGCTGCTGTGGAGGATCTATTGACAGCTGCAACCACGGGCATTTTGAGGCACATTGCAGCTGAAGAAATGACTAAGGAAAGACAGCGAAGGGAGGAGGAGAGGCGGCGGGCAGAGGAGGAGAGGTGAGTGTGTCTTTGCAGCGGGTCATGGAGGACAGTGTGTGTGGACACAAGAGAGCGCTGGCCCTGCCCCGTGACGCCCCGACTGTTGTCTACTGTGTTCCCATCATACCCATGCCGGCCCACCCAGCACCCTCATACACTTGAGGGAGTGGGTGGGGGTTCCCAGACCATACTCACCTTGTAAATGGTGGCCCCTTCCCAGCCAGGACAGGCAGGGACAGAGAGGTGGTGTCAGGGAAGCTGGAGTAGGGGTGGCCTGCTGCTGACTCAGGCAGCACAAATCCCCATCTGCACAGTCAAGGTGAAACATAAACATCACTTATTTTTATTCTTATACTTTACTCTTGTGATTTTTTTTTACCCATAGGTTGAAACAAGAGAGAGAACTGGTGTTAACTCAGCTGAGCCAGGGCCTGGCTGCAGAGCTGACGGAACTCATGGTGATGGAGTGCGTAAGGGAAACCTGCTCCCAGGAGTTGAAGTAAGAGAAGCACTGATCCTACAGAGCCGGGGGCATTGGCTGGTTGGTGGGGGGAGGGTTATCAAGGCACTGTGGACAGGCTAGTGCAGTTCAGGATAGCTGGGTTGCACTTAAATTTGGCAAGGAACGTATCTTTTGCATAGCCAAATGATGACATGCTGTGCCTGTACTTGTATGCATGCTGCATCCAGGGAATGGAGGCAGGGCGGGCCTTGGTTTCAATCTCCTCCTGTCAAGGATCCTGCAATGGGCATGGGCAGCAAAAGAATTCACTGGCAGAGTATTCCCCTCACCAGATCATGTGCTGTTAGTGTTTTTCAACTGGAAGACTCTTTTGAGTCTGTTTGATCTATCTCACTTGAGAACTTTATTTAATAATTTCTCTGCAAGCTTTGGGAAGGAAAGAAGTTCCATTTATGAAGGGAAATCTGTCCTTGTGTTAAGCTCCCTTGAGATAAGCCTGAAGGTGTTGGGCTTCCTTGGTATGTATCACAGCTTCCAGTGCAGATGGGGAACACAGCATGTAGGCGGAAGCGTATCATTTAATTAATGTTTCTTTCCACTCCTATTGGGAGCCTATTTCTCTGGTTGCTATAAGGGAGAGACCTCACAACTGATGGATATATGTCAGTTCTTCATCCCAGGAAGGAGTGCCAGAAACAGGAACATCCAGGGCTCACTGATATGCGGGGCAAGTGTTGTTCTGCAGTTCCAGGAGACTTGGAGTTTAGCTCAGCCCCAAGCTATCTTCAGCACCACCAAGGATGGGCTGTTGGAAATGTGTCTTGCTTGCTTAAGCTACTTTGACTTTATGAACAAATGTATTTGCTATAGTCCACTGTGCTCCCTTGGTTGATAGAGTTTTGTTATGAATTTTCTCTTTGAGCTGCTTGTTTATCCAAGGGCTACCACTGCATGACTACAGGCAGCCATCGTTGGTAGCCAACAGCATTTGTTGTGTACTTGAGACACTTCTAACTGCAAATGTCAGATATTGCTTGTGAGGCACTCGCACAGAGGAATCCAAGACCAACGTTGCTTTTATAGCTCTTTTAATAGTTGACAGCTCTTTTTTGGTGTTACAACTCTTTTTGATGTTACAGCACTTTATTGCTTGCGAGCAAGGAGAGCACTGGGAGTAAAGACTCCTAGATCAGTGTTTCCCACAACAAAGGAAAAGACCCCCTAATATAGCCTAAATTCCTGCCCTTTTCCCTCCCAGGTTCCCATTCAGGTCCTCTTATGTAAATGAGGGATGCTGTCCTGCTAATTTGGATTGGCTGATTGTGGGACACAGTCTGTTGGTCACTTTAGGAGCCTAATTTGCCTCTGGCCCCTGGGGGGTGTGAGACTGCTGTTATCTCATAGAGGGTGGGCCCAGGAAGCAGGCAGGGTAAACGGCAGGGGCCAGAGTCTACAGTGGAGCATAGAGTTTCTAAAACAGTTTCTCAAGTGGAAAAGGGAAAGCTTAACAATTAGAAAATGCTTAGAGTTCCCTACAACATCGCTGATGAGAAGATTTTGCAGTGTCTCAATGGTCATTTAAAAATTTAAAATTCTATTTTATTTAGATAAAGGTTTATTTCTTCACTTTTACAGAGTCCTCATTGGGCCTGAAATCTGGCATCCTGTACCATTTTTCCCCCCTATCTTCCCAGGTGTCTGTACTTTAAGTAAAAATGAAAATTTTAACGTTTCTCTTGCAGTGAAGATATAATTACGTTTCAATATTAAGGACATAGAGTCTTGCACTTGTAAAGCAAGCTCTCAGTGTCTGTGGGCCCCCGGTAAAGTGCCTCCCACACCGATTGCCTTGTTTCCTAGGAGTGCAATGGAGACAGACCAGAGGAGCCGCATGGCCCGTTGCTGTGAGGATGTCTGTGCCCACCTGGTGGACTTGTTTCTTGCGGAGGAAATTTTCCAGACTGCAAAGGAGACACTCCAGGAACTTCAGTGTTTCTGCAAGTATCTGCAGCGGTGAGTCCTGAATTCTCATGGGCAAAATCCACACACAGAGGAAAGTCTTTTACCAAATTCAAAATGCCTCAGCTGTTAGTTCCTTTAGTCAATGATAAAAGGATCAGAGAATATTTTATAGCAATAAATACCTGTAATGGACTCTACTCCAATTGGATTATACTTTCAGAAATAGTTGATTACTAACACACACACATAACAGGTTCCTAAACAGTGCAAATTAAAGTGGGGAATGGCAGCTGTCCTGTATTTCAACAAACATTTACAGGGTGCCTGCTGTTTACCTACTGCGCTAGACACAGGGAGACAGCCGTAAACAAACCAGACAAATTATGGCTGTGTGTACTAACGTGTGTGCATTTCCAGAACACAAGTAGAGAAAAAAGGAATTCATAGGGAAATACATATAACATACAAAGAGCGTACATTCAGACTAAATCAATTGTTTTGGATTTATGTATCGGAGTATAACCCTAAAGAAAAGATGAAAAATAGACTCAGCAGAGCAGTTACCTTTGGGAATGGGAGGGCTACCTTACTAGTCATGGCCATGGCTTCTCAATTAGAAGTATGTGGGTGTTTGATTTATCATTAATTTTTAAACTGCACATATATGTGTTATGTATGTTGTATGGTGACTCATTTCATGATGAAACGTAAAGTAGACAATAGTGCACTTGACAGCTGTGACAACGTGAAGGGGGGTAAAGTGAGAAGCGAGTCTCCCTTCCACGACAGCCCACACATATATGTGTTATGTATGTTGTATGGTGACTCATTTCATGATGAAACGTAAAGTAGACAGTAGTGCACTTGACAGCTGTGACAACGTGAAGGGGGGTAAAGTGAGAAGCGAGTCTCCCTTCCACGACAGCCCGTCTTAGAAGCAGCAGCATGTGTGTGCCCATCCCGACACTGTCTTTCATTTTCTATGGTGGCTGCTACAGGTGGGAGCATTCTTGACTCAATTCTCAGCCTTTCTTACTGCATTTGATAGGAGGTGGAGGCCTGGCTGTAGCAGCATATCAAACTTGCCCTATGATTGTTAGTGGCATTGAGGTGTGTTATTGTGAGAATGTACCATAAATGACCTTCCTGGTCCCCTCTTGACAGACATTCATTTCTCTCTTCAGCTATGACAGAGTTGCTGCAGGGACTGCCTTGTACAAATATTTCGCACATCTGCACTGTCTTTAAATTCCTATCGGTGGTGTCTGCTGTGTCAAGGGTTATATGTTTATTAGATTTGAATCCATATTGCCAAAATGGCCTCCAAAGATTGTTCAGTATTAGCTCTTAAAGTCAGTAGCTTCATTGCTCACCACACTCATTTGATATCATGCCTTCCCTGTGTCTAAATCTTAATTCTCATTTGTTCTCATTTTGAGGGCTGTTACTGGAAAATACCTAAACATACTGCCAAAAAACGTGTTTCCCCATGTTATGGTGCTGGAGTGTGTTTTTGCATCTGTCTCCTGGACTGAACCTTGAGAACACCCAGTGATGATACATTGGTGTGTCCCCCAGGTGGAGGGAAGCCGTTGCAGCCCGGAAGAAACTGAGGCGCCAGATGCGGGCCTTCCCTGCAGCACCCTGCTGTGTGGATGTGAACAACCGCCTGAGGGCACTGGCGCCCAGTGCAGAATGCCCTATTGCTGAGGAGAACCTGGCCAGGGGCCTCCTGGACCTGGGCCATGCAGGAAAAGTGGGCATCTCCTGCACCAGGTCAGCACTCAGCCGCTGCGCGCCACCTCGGGGCTCCCTGCCCCACTTGGTTTTGCCAGGAGCTGAGTTAACGTGTATTTGAAGGACACAGACAGGTGGTGTCAGGAAGGGAGGACAGGCGCAGAGTTGCGTTTTGAAGGTTGTTTTTTCCGCAGTTGTGGATGTGTGACTTGCGCCACCACTGGGAACTGGGGCTCATCTCACACGTTTGCATCTTGAAAGCCTTGGGGTCCTGGTAAAAGAATCTGACTTGGAATCACCTGTTCTTCTCTTGGTCTTCCCAGTTTAAGTACACGCCATGTCTACCCTCACTGTGGAGCCAGCTGCAGCAGCATCTGAGCAACTCCACCTTCCACAATCTAGCATCCCCCTCCTCGGGGCCCTTTGGTGTGGCGCTCCTTGCTGCTCTTCCTGTTCACTCTGGGCTCACTCAAACTGTCCAGTCCTGGCCATGCTGGGCTCAGCCTCTTCAGGTCCAGCCTCTCAAGTGTCTCCTCTTGAGAGGGACATTTGGGGCCAAGCTGCCTCCCAGTGGGCAGGGTTGGGCACCTTGGAGGGGCTGCAGTGGTGCACAGTGCTGGGGTCTCATGACACGTCTCTTACTTCTCTTGGTCGTCACGGATGCTCTCTCTCAAAACTGTCTCCTCGGGTTTCATGTGGCCCCATCAGATTCCACGGGCTTCGTCTCTGCATCTGTGAACAGGGTGGCGATAGTCCTGGCCTGTCTCTGGGGTGTGCTGTGAGGTCACAGGGTTAGGGGTGCTTTTTCTGACGTACAGCTGCTTCAGCACTGTGGCCTAGCCTCACCCTGGAGTCATGGTTCTCGAGCTTCCTGACCCCCCAGCTGCCCTTCTCTCCTCAGTCTCCTTCTCTGACCACCTCCAGCTCCATCAGCCCAGCCCCGTTCTTTACTCTTTCCTTCTGCCCCTCCCTGGTGGTCTCTCCCCATCCTTTATTCTGACAGCCCCTCTTGTGCCTCCTCCCTGTGCTCCAGACTCAGGATCCAGTTCCTAGCTCCACCTCTGAACCCTGTCTTCCCCCAGTCTGCCCCTTCTCTGCTCCCAGGACGCCATCCTGTCCTCCTGTGCTCTGGTCACGGACCCTGGCTTGCATCTATTCTCAGACCCACCGTCCTGTAGTTCTACCCTCAGAACATAGCTAAGGCCTGAGCAGATCTCTGCACTCCACTGCCAGCGCTTCTCATGGATTTTTGCCATAGCTGCCTGTCTGTCTGCCAGCTTCCACCCTCGTCCCTACCTCTGGTGTCCTCAACACCACAGCAGAGGGATCCTCTGACACCCCAGTGTCAGTGCCTGCCTTCTCTCATTGATGCCCCTGTGCTGCTCCTTGAGTTGTTGTACCATGGACCAAACCCCCCTCCCCAGGCTGCCCCCCACTGCTCTCCCCAAACCATCAGGTCCTGTTCTGGCATGGCACAGCCATCCTCTCTGCTACCCCTAGAAGTCCTCACACTGGCTCCCCTGTTTCCTTCAGGTCTTTGCTCACATATCACTTTCTCTGACCACCGTAAGTGAAGCTAAGGCACATGCCAGGGCTCCTGCCCTGCCTGTGCCCGTGACCCTGATGCTTCCTGTGTGCACACTAGCCATGTGCAGAGGCTACTCTCTCTCCCCATGAGAGTGTGTGTTCTAGAAGGACAGGATTTTTCTCTGTTTTTTGCTGAATCTCCCATGGCCAGCACACAGTAGAAACTTAATTCATGTTTGTGGAATGAAGCAGTCCTCTGACTAACTTGTTTCTTTAACAGAAAAAGCTTTCTCAGTCTCCTGGTATTTCCCCCCAGGAGATACTCACTAACTGCTGCCTTTTTGCTCAGCCCCTTCTGTGGGCATGGGCTAGTCTCACACAGATGGGGTCGTCCTCCCTTTCTTCGTAGGTTACAGTGGCTCAGGAACAAGACAGCTCACCAGATGAAGGTCCAGCACTTCCACCAGCAGCTGCTGAGGTTTGTCACCCTTCACCATGGGTGCTTCCCCTGCTTAGGGCTCACAGCCTGGCTCATCCATGGTGATCTGTCCCTTCCAGTGATGCAGCGTGGGCACCTCTGGACCTGCCATCCCTTGTGGCCGACCACCTCCCTGGGAGGCAGGAGCATCTGTTTTGGAAGCTGGTGCTGGTGTTGCCAGATGGAGAAGAGCAGTCCCCAGGGAGTGTCAGCAGGTCAGCGAGGGTTTCCGTCTTTGGGATGTGGGGTTTAAATGCCAAGAGGTGGAGTGACTTGTCTGCCCCTGAGAGCATTGGGCGGGGCAGAGCTGCGGGCCTGTGGGCAGAGCCCTCTCGTGTGCGGTGGGAACTCTGAAGCGAAGGGTTACATTTTATTGCTTGTTCTTGCCATCTGTTTTGCTCATCATTCGAAGTTGGCACTTGAAGTTTGATTATTTCAATTTTTATCCAGTAAATTTGGTAATAGTCGCTATGCTCAGGTATATTGATTTGAGACTCTTGAGGAAGATAGTTTATAGTTTGTATACTATAGTTCCATGTTTTTCCCCTTAGGAAAATCTTTTGGCCTTTAAAAAAGAAATCCAAAAAAATTGACATGGCATCGTTTCTTATAACCATATAGCTTCCAGAAATCATAATTTTAAAGCAACTATAGAACATGTTGCTTTTCTTTTTTAACATCTTTATTGAAATGTAATTCATATACTATAATCTTTACCCATATAAATTATACATTTCAGTGATTTTTAGTTATGTTCACAGGGTTTATAACCATCACCATTATCTAATTGCAGAACATCTTTTCACCTAAAGAGAAAATCCATGTTCATTAGCAGTCTCCATGCCTCCCTACCCCCAGCTCTTGGCAACCACTAATCTGCTTTCTGTTTCTATGGATTTGCCTATTCTAGACATCTTATATAAATGGAATCATATAAAATGTAGTCTTTTTTGACTGCTATCTTCCCCTTAGCATAGCGTTTTTTGGGCTCATCCACATTGAAGTATGTATCAGTACTTCATTTTTTTTTTTTAATGGGTGAGTAATATTCCATTGTACGAACATACAGTATTATCTGTTTATCAGTTGCTGGGCATTTGGATTGTTTCCACTTTTTGGCTGTTATGAATAAGGCTGCTGTGGACATCCATGTATAGCACTGGTGTGGACATGTTTGTAGTGCTCTTGGTTATACACCTAGGTGTGGAATTGATGGGTCATACAGTGACTCTTTGTTTAAGTCTTTGAGGAGTTGCCACACTGTTTTCACAGTGGCTGTACCATTTACATTCTACCAGCAGCCCATGAGGCTCAGGTTCTCTGAATACATTACTTTTTAAGCAGTCACTATGGAACACACGCAGGCTGAGGGAAAAGACAAAGGTGTGACACTTACCACACAGGACAGCTGAGCAGAGAAGGGAGTTGGGGTGTTCTAAAAGTATGTCAATGATGATTCATTTCTTAAAACAGCCATCCTCTGATTTGCTAAGTGCATTAGGAAATAGGTCACTTCAGGTCTCAGGCATGAAAAATTTGATTCTGTAAAACGTGTATTTCAGTATTTGCAGATGTTTCCTATTACTGACAATCTTTTCTTAGTACACATTAAATCACGTTATAATGAGCCAGTTCCATGAGTGTCTTATTCTCCCACCCAAATAGAGTTCCTAGCTCCATTTTATTTTATTTATTTATTTTTCCTTTTTGTCTTTTTTCGTGCCCGGCAACGGATTGCAACCCTCAGTGTCGCGCCCGTACCAGACCGGGACCGGCAATGGGATCACAACCCTCGGTGTTGCTCCCACACCTCGCTCAGCCAGTGAGCGGGAACCGGTCTGTATGTGGGATCCGAACCCTCGGCGGGAGCGCCACCACGCTCCCAAGCAGCGCACTGTAGCAGTGCGCCACCGGGCCAGCCCCCCTAGCTCCATTTTAAACAATAACCTGTTTTTCAAGGTCATCTTCACAGTACGATTTGGTATCAGTGGACCTAGATCCATGTGATACTTCTCTTCCTTCTTTTCCTGAAAGTCTTTTTAGTTCAGATTTAGAATTAGATTCTTAGTGTTATTTTCTTTTATCCACAGAATTCTAGCAAATTGGTTAAAAGTCAAGTTCATGGGAGGTGATGGCTTAGTGGATGACATGTGCAGTGAGGCTGGTGGGATTGGGACACTCGCGCTTTTTAATGCGCTCAGCAGCAAAGAGGATCAGATAGTTTCTGTCAACGTGTGTATAAAGGTGAGTGACAACCACTTTGTGTATTTACTTCTGTGATTTCATTATTTTCACTCACTCCCAGACCTAATTGCAATCAGATGAATGCTGTTTATTCTCTGACGTGGTTTTGAAAGAGTGTGGGAGGCTCAGAATCAAGTGTCACAGCTGTCCCTCCTTGTGTCCTGATGGCATCCCACGAACACCTACTTGGTGTGAGGCATCAGGCTAAATTCCAGTAGAGCAGTGAGTCTTGGCTGTCACAGACCTCTGTGAGAACGTGGTAAAAGTTCAGAAACATACTGAAAAATGCACAGGTGCACCTGTAATGTTTTACACCTGATTCAGGAGCCCTGCACTCCTCCATGGGCCTTTGATAGGTAACTCAAGAAGGATCAGAGTCAGATCATTCCAGAAAAATGTAGTGAACGTTATAGCTCACATGGTTCGCCAACTCCTGACATGTTTGTTAAAGTAGCTTCTTGACACATCAGGTTTTACCAAAGACTAATGATTTTTAATCCTATGCAGTTTTCACTAAATTGGATCCCAGTTAGTGATAGATTCAGTATCTGGCATTTCAGTTTATTTGTTTTTGTTTTACATTCAAGTTATCCTCAGTTTTTGATTACAAGCTCTAATTTTCATTCTTTATAGGTGCTCATACAGTACTGAGCTTAACTGGTTCCTGGGAAGTTCTTGTTTAATAAGAGCTTATCTCCTCATTAGAGTCTAACCTGCATAAAGGAATTTTAGGTTCAGCAGATATGTTCAGAAATGAATCCAGGTGTGTCCTTCTTTATTTACTTGTAAAATAGTGGTGCAGGGCGGAAAGTGTAGCTTCAGTGTTGAGCAGACTGGGTGTCAGTGGCTGCCTCTCTGGCCAGCTCTGTGAACCTAGGTGCGGCACCTGACCACAACATGGCACTCACGGTCACCAGCACCAGAGTCTCCTGAGGACTGGCTGGGCTGTGTGCCTGGAGGAAGACTCAGCAAGTCAGCTCCCTCACCCAAGGTCCCGGCTCGACGCCTACACAGCCTGGGCCTCTGTCTTCCTGACAAAGTCGCCTTCATGGCATTCCCTGGCTGTAAGTGTGTGATGCTCCAGTCCGTGTTCCCTCTGTCCTTAGAACTCTTTCCAGTCATAGTTTGGTTATGGGATTTTGTTTCTTTCAGTTTTCCGTTTTAATAATACTGACTGTATTTCTAAATGTAGAAGTAACACATGTATAAAACTTTAAAAATACAAAATACAAGGAAATATAAAGGAAGTACAGTTCTGCATCACTTAATGACAGGGATGTGTTCAGGGTGATTTTTGTTGTGTGAACATATGAAACCTAGGTGGGGTAGCCTGCTGCACGTCTGTGGTCTATTGCTCTGACCACTGTCAGTCGTGTGTATGGTTAATAGTTGACTGAAATGTTATGTGGTGCGTGACTGTATGAAGATAAGAGCCATCCAGGCTTTCACCATTTAGCAGTAACCGTGACTTCTTGGTGCACATTCTTCCCTGTTTTCCTGTGACTACAAAGTCACACTTCACCTAACTAGAAATGAACTAGTATTGTTCCTCTTACCTCTATTTTTAAAATTTTTCCGAAAGTAACATTCGCGTTTAGTTAAAAAGTCAACTATGTGCACATTATTTGTACTGAGGAATAGCAGCCTCTGCCGCTCCTCCTAGCCCCTTTCCTGAGAGTTTGGTTTCCATCATGTTTCCAGATCACATGCTTACACTGCCCTTTCTCAGTTTACCCATTTTAGGTATCCACTGACTTCCCATTAAAATAAGTGTATTAGTTATCTATTACTACATAACCAATTACCCCCGACATAGTAGCTTAAAATAACAAACATTTGTTATCTAATGGTTTCTGTGGGTCAGCAGTCCAGGTGTGGCTTAGCTGGTTCCTCTGGCTCAGGGTTTCTCACAAGGTGGAAATCAATATGTTTGCTAGGTTTATGGTCTCCACTGATCCACTTTCAAGCTCACTCTTGTGGTTGTTGTCAGGACTCACTTCCTTGCAGGCTGTGGCTAGAGACTTCCTCAGTTCCCTGCCACCTGGGCCTCTGTAAGGCAGCTGGTAACATGGCAGCTGGCTTCCATCCGAGTGAGCAGGAGGGTGAGCCAAGACGGAACTATAATCTAATCTTAAAAGGGACATCCTGTCGCTTTTGTTGGATTCTGTCTGTTAGGAGTGAGTCACAAGGCCCAGCCCACACTCGGGGTAGGGGATTACACAGGGATGTGAACACCAGGAGTTGGGGTCATGGGGGTTGTCTTGGTGGCTGCAGACCATACTAAATGAGGCCTCTCACATCACAGTACCACTCAGCCTCCCCATCTTCCCAGGATAGCTGCAGTATCACTTAGTATTACTTCAGTAAGTGTGGCCACATTTTGATGGCTCTGTGACTGCTATTTGCCTCAGTACCGGTAGTGTTCTTTCTATGACCACATTTCTTTATTTTTACTGCAAGGAATAATTACCTTATTTTCTCACATAGTTTCCTCTAATATCTTTAATTTTTACCAGATGGGCTGTGTATGTCTCAGTAAAGTTTTCCAAATGTTGTGTTGTTTCACCTGATCCATCCATGTCCCCTCTCTACTGGTGGCCCCTTCTGAGAAAGGGCCATCCTCTTGCTCCCCTCTGGGTTGATAGCTTGTCCCAGGGTGTGGACAGGGTGTCCCTCTGTCTAGGTAGCATGTGCCTTAAGCCATCATCATGAGCACATGTCCCTGTTCTCTCACCTGGTAGCTCTGTGACCTTGGGCAAGTTCCTTAGCGTCTCTGTGCCACCTATGTGTGGGTACTTTTACTTATTATCCCTGTTTTACTCAGAGAAGTTAAAATAAATTGCCCAAGGCTGTGCGGCTACTATGTGGTAGTAGTGCTCATCAGGTGCTTGAGGATGAAATGAGTTTGTACATACAGAGTCCTTAGAACAGTGCCTGACACATGCCAGGTGCTTGCTCAGTATTGCCACAGCGGCAATAGCAATTTTTTTTGGTTTGGTCCCTTGTGTGATGGTGTCTATCTTTCAGTTGCTGCTGAAGGAAGGATGTGTGGGAAGGGAATTATCTGAGTCCTTTCCTTCTGACGATGCATTTATTTTATCCTCATAGTCGCATCTTAGTTTAGCTCGGTTTGTAGAACTATACATAGAAAATCATTTTCTGGGCCGGCCCTGTGGCACGCTCAGGAGAGTGTGGCGCTGGGAGCGCAGCGACGCTCCCGCTGTGGGTTCGGATCCTATATGGGAATGGCCAGTGCGCTCACTGGCTGAGCGTGGTGCGGGCGACACCACACCAAGGGTTGCGATCCCCTTACCAGTCACGAAAAAGACACACACACACAAAAAAGAAAATCATTTTCCTTCCAGTTTTGCTGCATTGTCACATAGCACCCACTGCTGCGGCTGAGGGATCTGAGACTATTTCTGCTCCTTTCCACGTGACTTAGTTTTGTTTCTCTTTGGGAGCCTTTTCTCTCTGTCCATGGGGTTCTGAAGATTCACTCTGGTAGCATGATGCCAGACGTCCTTCACTCAATGAAGGACTTCACTTCACTGAAGGACCTTGGCAGGTCCTTTCAGTCAGGAGGCTCTGGTTTCACTGGAACATTGTTGTGTCTTCGTGATGCCTCTTTCCTGCTCTTTTTTGTTCTCTCTTGAACCCCTGTCAGATAGATGTCAGACCTCATCAATTGATCGTCCGAGACTCTTATCCTTTCTATCCTGTTTTCTATCTTGTTTCCTTGTTTCCTTGGCTTTATTTTCCACATGTCCTTTTGAACTTTTTATTCATTTATATTAATTTATCTCTTATTTCTTATCCTTGTTTTTTTTTTTTTTTTTTTGTCCTTTTTGAGACCGGCCGCACCGCGCTCAGCCAATGAACGCTGTGAGCGCACTGGTCATCCCTATACAGGATCCGAACCCGCGGCGGGAGCGCTGCTGTGCTCCCAGCGCCACACTCTGCTGAGCGTGCCACAGGCTCGGCCCCTTATCCTTGTTTTGACTTCCTTATAGCTTTTTATTACTATTTTTGGATGTATCATCTTATCTTTTTGAGGAAATGAGTTGTTTGGGTTTAAGTTTTCTTATGTCCTATGCATAATCTGTTTCCTCTGGGTTTCTTTTTTTTTTTTTTTTTACCTTTTTGTCTTTTTTCCTGACCGCCATCGGATCGCAACCC